ACCGAAGTCAGAGAGGGCTGCTCCGATGCTGAGGCAGAAAGGGACCTTGCTTTTGCTGAGACCAAAAACGTGAAAGGAAAGTCCCATAGGCTGAAATTTAGCATGAACAGACCTCTTATTGGAGGGCCAAACCAAATCAAGCATGGATGGGGAAGGGTTGGCTCCAAGACAAGTCTAGCACATGAGGTCTCCCCGACCTGTCCCCAGGAGGTGCCATCTGCAGATCTGGTGACTAGGCCTTTATGTCCTTATGCAAGCCACAGATAAGAAGGTGGGAAAGTGTTGGACAGAGCAGCCTTTCTGCAAAGGTTACTCCTACCTATCGGTCTCTTGAATACATTTTTAACTGGCTAAGTCCATCCAACTGTACTGCCATCTGGGCCACATTTCTCTATCATACTCATAGGAAAATCACAAGACATTGTCAGAGGCCACAGTGGAAAATCATTCAAAAGTGACTGGGGCTTGGTCTGGCTCAACTTGGCTTTGGCAGCCCAGGATGGCCACTTTCTCCCAGAGTATCACATGCTTTCTGCTCCCTGAGCCAGACCAGCTGGGCATCCACAGCACAGCTGTCCCCTCACTTTACAGACAGTACACTCACACCAACCCTAACATATTCCACTCCCCACAGCCCCGCTAAGAAGATAAGCTACTATCAGCTTGCGTGTCTGCTTCCAGGGATATTCTCCTCTGGGTGTTATGTATGAACAGCCCTTTATTTCACAAGAGCAGTAGCAGCCTGTATGTACTAGTCTTGTTTGCCAAAGTAATACAGTTAAATAGATGAAAAATGCAAATAGCACTGTGAGGCTTACAATCAAAGTTACTAATACTCTGTACCCCACACCCCCTCTCTAGCCCTGCTCTCCAGAGGCAGCAGTTTGGCTGCATTTTGCTATTTCACTTGGTTTCTGCTTAATATTTACATGGCACTTCTAAATGCTGTGCTAACACTGCCTTTTGTTGTTGTTTTCACTATTGACATTGCCTTGTGACCTCTTACTAGAATTTTCTCTATATATACTTCTTTTCTTTTCCCCAACCTCCCAATATAAAACAACTTTCCTGAATGAATATTCAGTGTTTGTAATAATATTATATATTGTATATGCATTATTCAAACGTTGCTCAAGCTGAGTTCCCTAGTGCAACATGATTACATTTCCTTTCTTGCAAAGCTTTTCGTTTTTCCCAGAGTTAATAATCACCTTTGGTTTTTTGCTTCAGTGTTTGTGTGAGTATCTTTATTTCATCTCCAAACTTTCTGCAGAACTGTAAAGCACCTTGCAATATGGTATATAGATAGATTCATTATGTCTTCTTAGAAGCACCACTCCTGGAACCCCTGACTCCTTAATTCTAATCTGGACTGATTGCTTTCTGGGCCAACCATACTGCTGTCATCCTTCAGCTTCCCTTTGCTATCTTCCTGTAATTCGTTTTGCCTCTAGGTTGAAAGCCTTTGTTTCCCTGATCCTGGGTCTTCTTTCTTCTTGGTTTACTCACTAGTTTTAATGAAGCACATCTCCCAAAAGCTTTCTAAGAGAAGAGCCATAAGAGATAATTTTTGTTTAATTTGCATGTCAAAAAGTATTGTTATCCTGCCTTCACTCTTGATTAATGGTTTAGCTAGAACTTAATTCTAGATTGAAATTTTTTCCTTAGAATTTTGAGTGTGTTTAGCCACTGTCTTTCAACATAAGTCCAAAGCTATTCTGATTCCTGATTCTCTGTAGTCTGTTTTTCTCTCTATAAAAGCACTTAGAATCTTCCCATCAGCTCTGGCATTCTAAAATGTCATGATTATATGACTTAGTATATGTAGGCGAGTGTTTTTTATTCTTTCCTCAAATACCTGGTGGCCCTTAACTTTCGATTTCTACTTACGGGGAGGCTCTAAAATGCTGACCAGAAGCTCACCCTGCTCTTCATCATGCTGGCAGCCCGAGTCAGGGGCCTGTCTGGCTCCAGCTCTCCCCAGATGGTCAACTCTTGCCTTCCACTGGGGCAAGGCAGGGAAGTGGATGGCAGAGCGAGAAAGAAGGAATCACATAAAACCTTCAATCTGCCTTTCTGTTTTCACCTGCTCCTGCATCCTGGCATTCAGAGGTTCCTGAGGCTTTCTGGGTTCTCAATTCCATCACCCAGCCCCTGCAGGCAAAGCTCTCAGCTTTCTATTCAGCTAAGTCTGTATCATGGGTCTATCTGCTTTGCACTTCGAAAATTTTTGTTGACCTCTCTCATCTGCTGTCATCGCTTGTGTTCTCTTTGTCCTTATGGGTTTCTTTCTTTCTTTTTCTCCTCCTCCTCCTCCTCTTCTCCTCCTTCTTCTCCTCCTCCTTCTTCTTCTTTTTAAATTCCTTTAATCTCCTTTTAGTAGAGGAAACAGAGGTCAAAGAAAATGCTCTATTCTCCAGGTAACTGGAAGTCCCCTGCACTTTGCTTTCTTAACTTCATAATATATCTTGGAGATGGCTTTATATCTAACAGAAAGCTCCTCCTCCTCCTCTCCAAGGGCAGTCTCCCACAGATGGATGAATCAGCGCTTACTTCACCTGTGTCCTCTTCATGCAAGTGCCATGGCTGGGTCAAGGTGTACGTCTCATTTTGAACTGGGACATTTCAGCACCTCCTGCTTTCACTGGTCTTCTTCCATTCTTCAAAGCTCTTGGTAACTGTTCCACATCCTCAGCTCTCCCCGGGTTGTGGTCTCCTGGGTCTGGAGACTCCCCTTGGCTTAAAGCAGCAGAGAGCTCTTGTGGGTATCACCTTCCCATTTGGAAGTTTCTGCACTGCTGCTCCACCCACCAGCAGGATCTACCCAGGGGCAGGCGTGGGCCCCTCAGGCTCAGGAATGGGCTGTCAGGAGAAGGGGCAGGCCAGAAAGAGCTTTGAGAACTGCTTGTTGGAGAAGTTTGCACTGAACCGTGAACTGTGAGCTCTGAACTGGAACCTTCCCTGGCAGCATTCACCAGGACCCGCCTCCCTAGCAAAACACAGAGCCAAACTGTGCTCTTCTCAGGAGAAAGGCACCTTCCACCGGGATGGAAACAGACTGGAAACAGGATCTGGGAGGAGGCCATCTCAGGGCCTGGGTGGGAGGTTCAGAAGGGAAGGGTCCCTAAGCATGGCTCGCTTCCAAGGAAATCTTTCTCTGAAGGCCAATGCAGAACAAATGAAAATGGAGGATCGATGTTCAAGAGAGAGTCTGAACCCCTCTCATCCTTCTCTCTCTCCTGGCATATAGGAGGAGCCCCAGGGGTGGATCCAAGAATGCCATTTGAAGCCCCTGAGGTGGAAAGAGGGACAGGCATGGCCATGCCCCATTGCTGAGAGTATAAACTGGTGCAGCTTATTTGAAGGACAACATTGTCATACCTATCGAAGTTCTAAAATGTAGGCGGGGTGTGGTGGCTCACCCCTGTAATCCCAGCATTTTGGGAGGCCAAAGTGGGAGGATCACTTGAGGTCAGGAGTCCAAAAGCAGCCTGGCCAACACGGCGAAACCCTGTCTCTATAGAAATACAAAAATTGGTCAGGTGTGGTGGCAGGCACCTGTAGTCCCAGCTACTCAGGAAGCTGAGGCACAAGCATCACTTAAATCCAGGAGGCGGAGGTTGCAGTGAGCCAAGATCGCACCACTGCACTCCAACCTGGGTGACAGAGCGAGACTCCATCTCAAAAAAAAACCCCAAAAACTTTTTTGAAAAAGGTACAGAACAGTATGAATGGGATAAATGCAACGGTGTGAATGGGGTAAAAGGAAGAATAAATGTGTCTGCCTATGCATAGAAAATTCTTCTGGAAGGCTAGATGCTAAGAAAAGCCAACGGTGAGCAGAAGTGGCCTTGAGGGAAAAGGACTGGGAGGAAAGAATGGAGACATTTACTTTTCACTTAGAACTTTCACATGATTTGGATTTTCTAGCCATGCTCACAGATTTTTCTTTTAGATTTCATTTATTTTTATCCATATGTTACTTTTCAGAAATTTCAATAGAGGTTATATGGGTAGTAGGATATGGGTCACTTGGAGTTATGTCATATTTTTCTATATTTAAAAAAGTGAGTGAATATTATTTTCAAAAGGGAAATTATGTCACCCAGTGACAGCCCCTGGTTTCTGTAGCTCCCCAAGCCCTGGCCATCCCCCATCCCCGTTTGTGCCTGTAGAGTCTTGCACTTGTGACAAAGTCATTACCCGCCACCCCCAGACCCTGAGTGGGAAATGTGGCTTCCACATGGTGACTGGGGAGCGTTAGTCCAAGCACAGATGATGAGAAGCAGCCTTCCCCCACGTCCTCCTGGAAGTGTCTTGGTGAGTTTCTTTATTCATCTAACAGGTTTTGTTGGGTACCTGGCTTGGCCCAAACACGCAAACACACCTCTCACGTTGTTCACTCTCCCCACAGCCCCACCAGAAGAGCATTTGCCCACCTCCACGCTGAATGAGGGTCCTTCCCCACTGGACAGGGGCCCGTATGACAACAGGGAGCAAGGCTGTTCACCAACCCACCCCCAGTGCCCCCACTGGGCGGGCACATCACAAGCACTGGAGAGAGGGCAGGGAGGGAGGGAGGAAGGGCTGGGCTTCAGTCACCCAAGTTTACTCAGCCAGTGAACAGCCAAAATGGGCTTCAGACCTAAGCTCCTCAAGTCCTGTCCTTGCTTTCATCATTATTCCAAAGAGGTTCTGTCATTACATTTTCTTTCTTGCAAGGAAAGAAAGCTCCATGATCCTATGAAGAAACCCCACCTGGTATCCCAGTAAAGGGTTAGCAACCTACAGCCTGATGTCATTCAGCTCCAGTGGGGCTCTGGGGATCATGGTCCCTGGGCCCTCCAATTCCTGCCTGCCCTCTCCCAGCCCCAACTCCAGGCGTGTGTGGCTCTGAGCAGGGACCACACTCAGGGACCAAAGTGAGGCTGTATTAGGGCAAGAATCCAGCTCAGAGGGAGGAGCCTGGAGAGGGAAAGAGGGGCGGGGCGTTTACTCACCACAGAATTTCATTTCTGGTCAGGAAGGTCAGGGCCTGCAACAAATCACAGAGAAGTGATGTGTCCACTCCATTCATCTCTGCTGTGACCCCTGGGGATTGGGACACTTCAGGGGCTGGGGAGGAAACGCCCATTCTTTTATTACACAGCTGGGGGAACCCCAGGCTAAGGTGGATGCCTGGGGGTCAGCAGGAGAGGAAATGGTGCTCTTTCTTACCCCCTAGTCTCTGACGGCCCTGGGAAGGAGGGCATTGGCACAGACATGGAAAGGAAATCAGAGACAAGACAGAAACTCTAGGCTCTGGAGCAGGAGACAGATGGAGGAAGGTGACCTCAGAGAACCAGTCTGGGCCACATGGATACAGGTTTAGCAAAGACGAGGACCACTGCCACCCTGCGGTAAACTCTAGAGCAGGCTTATCCGACCCACGGCCTGCAGGCCACATGCAGCCCAGGGCAGCTTTGAATGGGGCCAACACATATTTATAAACTTTTTAAAAACATTATCAGATTTTTTCATGGATTTTTTTTAGCTCATCAGTTAGCCTTAGTGTTAGTGTATTTTATGTGTGGCCCAAGACAATTCTTCTGCTTCCGGTGTGGCCCAGGGAAGCCGAAAGATTGGACGCCCCTGCTAGAGCTTCAGGAAAGAATTCTCCCATTCATTCCACCTGCTTCAGAAAGCTCCTACCTCTGCCCAGAATCCCTGGCCTCATCTACCTACCTGGTACTCTTCCAGGTCCTCCCAGTGCATCTGGTATCTCAAGCATTGCCCCATGCCAACCCCGCCTTTCTCTCTGCCAGCAGTAGAACCTCAGCCGCAAGCACTCACCAGCTGGGGCATCTCATTGATCTGGTTGCCATGGTGACCTACATTCCACCTTCTGCCCATTCCACCTGAGTCACTGAGTTGGCAAAGAAACCAAATACTTTTCATTCCCAAGAGACATCACTCCCAACACAACAAGCAGAAAGGCAGCCCGATGGCAGGGCTGAGAGTCACAGTCAGCTCAGGAGTCACACTGCCTGGGCTCCAATCCCAGATCTGCCCCACGCTGACCATGTGACCTGAGGCAAGCTCTTCCATGTCGTTTGTCTTAGTTTCCTCATCTGTAAAGCGGGGATGATAATCAAGTGATTGTTTCGAGGACTGACTAATACAGGGAATAATGTCTGGCACATAGTAAGTGCTCAATAGCACTGTACTCCAGCCTGGATGATAGAGTGAGAACCTGTCTCAAAAAAAAAAAAAAAAACCCTACATCCTTCCAGGTGCAGAGGTGCATGTCTATAGTCCCAGCTACTTAGGAGGCTGAGGCAGGAGGATCACTCGAGCCCAGGAGTTCAAGGCGGCAGTGAGCGATGATCATACCACTGCATTTCAGCTTGGGTGATAGAGCGAGATCTTGTCCTAATAAATCAAAATAAAAAAATAAACAAAGAACCATGACCCCAAGATTATGCCAGGCATGGGGATACAGAAATAAATCAGCATAGATCTGACCTCAGGAAGTGGCCCAAAAGTACAGAAAAAGGCACTCCAGCCCATCAGTCAGGGTCTCTGCAGGAATACACAGGAACAAAAGGCACCATCAAGTCAGGATTGTGTGAAGAGAGTTTAATAAAGGGACTCTCAGGGTGTAGGGAAATCACACGGATAACACAGACTCCCGAGGCCAAGAAGAAACAGCTGCTACTGGCCATGCACAGTGGCTCACGCCTGTAATCCCAGCACTTTGGGAGGCCGAGGCAGGTGGATCACCTGAGGTCAGGAGTTCGAGACCAGTCTGGCCAACATAGTGAAACCCAGTCTCTACTAAAAATACGAAAAAAATTAATAGGACATGGTGGTGGGCGCCTGTAGTCCCAGCTACTCAGGAGGCTGAGGCAGGAGAATTTTATGCACCTAGGAGGTAGAGGAGAGGTTGCAGTGAGCCGAGATCAAGCCATTGCATTACAGCCTGGGTGACAGTATGAGACTGTCTCAAAAATAAAAGAGTTGCTACCCGCCTCGTCCTGGCACCACCCACCTGGAAGCCACACCCCAGGCCCACTCTCTCCTCTTCCTCTGATCTCTTGTAAGGCAGAGAGGAGGGTGGAGCAGGGTAGACAGACAGAGACAACGCCCAGCACAGCCATCAACATCACAAGCCAGCAGGGTCTTCCAGAAGCCATCTCTCCCTCCCCTGCCTCCGGGAGGGTCTGCATACCCACCTTTGTCGTGAAGGGCTGGTCCCCTTGTTCTAAGACGTGTCTTCCCTGTGCCCTCCTGAGTAAACATCGCAGTGGCTCTCTGATGAAGCTTATTTATATCTCTGAAGTGCAACTGCCTGCTTTTTCTTTGACTGTCCTCCATGGGGCTGGAGCCTGGCAGAAGGAAACCTGGGGCCCTCATTCCTTCATTTGCTCACGAGACACAGGTAGAATATCCACAGTGTGCCCGGGACTTGGCTTGACCTGGGGGAGAGAGGACTGAACATGTCTTCAGACCTCAAGAAACATATGCTCTTCATACTCTTAAGGAATAGGAAAGAAAGAAAGAAATCTATCCTCACCATGCACACATACACACACGGTAAAGCAGATGGAGGCAGATGTCACAGACAGGGAAGAGTACAGAGTTACGAGTGTTTTGAAGAGGAAAGATTTGCTGGGCAGCAAGCTTTCATGTAGGTGGAGGCATTTATGTGGTTATCATGCGTGAGTTAAGAATATGGGCTCTGAAATCTGAAAGGCCTGTCATTTCTTACTGCATCACCTCAAGCAAGTCATAAAATACTCTAAGCCTCAGTTTCCTCATCTGTAAAAGGAGAATGATAAACCCCTACTTCATAAGAATTGCAGGCACAAAATAAAATGCTGAGTGTATGTAAAGCTCTTATTTAGCAAGATACCTGTTACGTATTGCATTCTCAATAAAGGGTAAATTACCAGACTGGCCAACATGGCAAAACCCCATCTCTACTAAAAATACAAAAATTAGCCAGGCATGGTGGCATGCACTGGTAGTCCCAGATACTCGGGAGGCTGAGGTATGAGAACCGCTTGAACCCGGGAGGCGGATCTTGCCTCTACACTCCAACCTGGGCAACAGAGTGAGACCCTGTCTCAAAGAAAATAAACAGTGTAAATTATATAACTACTTTTAAAAGTTGGGCTTGGGCTGGGCACAGTGTCTCACGCCCGTAATCCCAGCACTTTGGGAGGCAAAGGTGGGCAGATCACCTGAGGTCAGGAGTTAGAGACCAGCCTGACCAATATGATGAAACTCTATCTCTACTAAAAATACAAAAATTAGCTTGGCATGGTGGGATGCACCTGTAATCCCAGCTACTGGGGAGGCTGAGACAGGAGAATCACTTGAGCCGGGAAGCAGAGGTTGCCGTGAGCTGAGATCTTGCCATTGCATTCCAGCCTGGGGGCAACAAGAGCAAAACTCCATCTCAAAAAAAAAAAGGTGGGCCTGGAAGGAAGGGTCAGACTTTGCAGGCTAAGCCAGTGGTTACACCCCATCTTCTACTAACCCCTTTGAGCTTCTCCCATCATTGAATGAGCAGCTTCTATCTGCCAGGTGTGTCCGTGTAAACTGTCTGCCTTTGGGTTCAGGCAACTCAGTGAGGGCAGTAGGGCATCCTCGCTCCTTTCTCTGGGGAAGGCAAAGGCTGGTGAGGTGAAGTGATGCTCTTGGGCCAGTCAGCTGGTAAGTGGGCAAGCTACAGGTCTGCGGATTCCCAAAGCACAGAAAAGGAAATTCAGGGAAGCCAGGTGACCTGCAGGACCACACCCCAGAAAGCCACTTCCTTCTCCGGCCTCAGGGCCCCTAACCACATCAGGTGCAAGTGGCAGCTTGGCACTGGCTGATTGTGACTTTAACAACCTGTCTGACACTTGCTAAAAAGAAAACAAAAACAAAGGAGGAAGCTGCCCTGCAGCTTTAAGCTACTGACTCAACCACTATGCATAGAGCCAGGCAGTGGAGACAGAGGTGATTGAGGCAAACGATGTCCTCATGGAGCCAGATACCAATACGTGCACCCCCATCCCTTAGATAGCCGTACATGCTGTGGAAGAAGGAAAGCAGGGAACGGGGGAGAGACGGTGTGACGATGGAGGGGCTGGTGGTCATGGAAGCACCAGAGCAGAGACTTCAGGGACGGGAGGAGAGAGCCAGGCTAAGAAGTCAGGGGTAGTTGCACAGGCACAGATGGCCACGGGATCCAGCTAGAATTTAATAACACGGGTTTTCACTGTATTTGTTTATATAAAGGCATCTTCCATGTTGAAAATAATGCAGGTTTGCCATTTATTACTGTGATCTAAAGTTTCCTTTATAAATGTATCTGTTTAATTAAAAGAAATAGGAACTTATTCAAAAAATATTAAGTAAATAATTATACAGGTGGTAAAGAAATATGCCAGAAATCACAAAGGTCTCTCTGTCTCTCCCTCTCTTTCTCTCTCTCTCTCTCTTTCTCTCTCTCTCTCTCTCTCTCACACACACACACACACACAACCAAGATTTGCAAACTCTGCTGCCTTTCTCTCTCCTTGATCTTTCATTCCCCTAATTCCCCAACCCCTGTCTACCCTGCACCCCCGCAGGCTCTGTCATTTCATCACAGAGAGGGTTTTCATTGGTTTCTACAATAACAATACTAACAATAAGAATATCACTTTACATTTGCATATTCCTTTATAATTCCAAAATGCTTTTCTATGTACCATCTCATTTGCCCCAGAAATAAAAGCTATTGTTCTTTAAAAAAGAGAGAGAAATCCTCCCTCCATATGATTCTGCCTTTGATACACCAACCAACCTGCCTCTCTACCATCTACAGCCCATTACATCCCTCAAACTCCTCTTCAGCAGAGATTTTGAAAGGGTTGTAATTGAGCAGGGCGGAGGCTCTGGGGAAGGGTACTTCTACAGCCTTCCCCTCCAGAGTCCGCCCCCGCAGGAATCCTCTGTGTGGGGCAGAATGTATTCTTTGCAAGGTTTCTGTCACCTTGCAACTTACAGTTTTATAGACAGGTAAAACTACAACCCCTGCTCCAACCCTGATTTAGGTGTCTCTTAGAATTCAAGAGGAGTTGAAAAGAAACTTGCATTCAGAATATATAAAGAACTCTTACAATTCAACAATAAAAGGCCAAAGAAGCCAACTTAAAAATGAGCAAAAGATTTGAATAGACATGTAAGAAGATACATGAATGGCCGATGAGCATATAAAAAGAAGCTCAACATCAATAGCCATCAGGGAAATGCAGATCAAAACCACAGTGAGGTACCTCTTCACACCCACCAGCATGGCCAAAATCAAAAGAACAAGTAAGAAGCGCTGGACATGGTGGCTCATGCCTGTAATCCTAGCACTTTGGGAGGCTGAGGCGGGCAGATCACTTGAGCCCTGGAGTTGAAGACCAGCCTGGACAACATAGTGTAACCCCGTCTCTGCAAAAAATACAAACATTAGCTGGGCATGGTGGCATGCACCTGTAGCTGCAGCTACTCAGGAGGCTGAAGTGGTAGGATTGCTTGAGCCTGGGAGGCAGAGGTTGCAGTGAGCTGCGATTGTGCCACTGCACTCCAGCCTGCGCAACAGAGCAAGACCTTGTCTCAAATCAACAACAACAACAGAAAGAAAGAAAAAAAAGCTCAAGTAATAAGGGTTGATAAAGACATAGAGAAATTGAAACCCTCATATGTTGCTGATGGGAATGTTAAATGGTGCGGCCACATTGGGAGAGAGTTTGGCAGCTCCTTGCCGTTTTAAGCAGTTACTGTAGGACCCAGCAATTCCATGCCCAGGTGCATCCGCAAGAAACATGG